ACCTTCGTTAGCATACTTTATTATAAAGTTTAAAAATAAGTTTTTAGGATTTTCGTCTAAATAATTTTTAAATAACGAATAATTACAATACGCAGTTGCTAATATTTCAACTAACGAATCAAAAGCACACGTGTTTTTAATATATATCTTCTGGCTGTTAATGATGACTACATTGCAGCTACTCCCGTTTTTCAATATTTCATCTTTTCGTTTTCTTAAAGGTCTATTATATATAAGATGAATATCCGGACATGGCTTTAAATATTTACCCCTTTGACGATTAGTTTTATTTTCGCTTAATGGTTTCTGCTTAGATTTAGTTTTACCTTTTTTGCGTAATGTTAATTTATTTTCCTTATTTTCATTATTGTTTATGTCTTCATCTACGTAAGTTAAGTTGGATTTTTCTGATAGAGTAATCGAGCTATTTATAAAATCATTATTCACTTCCTGATCAGCTTGAATTTGTACTTCTTCCGATTTTTTAAATTTTTTACATGCTTCAATATTTAAGCCTTTCCAATTCTCTTGTTCTGTTAAATAACTATAACTATTAATAACACTTTTTGTTTTTTCATCTGATATATTACAATCAATTTTTCTTTTATTTGCTATTTTATTATTATCTTGCACCAATGCAATTTTTTCATTTATATGTTTTATTGCAGCATGTTCTAATTTTGATATACTTTCAATTGATTCAATATGACAAACAACAAATTTATCTGGGCGTAATGGTTTGTAATTTGATCCTAAATCTGCATGTTTCAAATCTTTAAAGTAGGCTTCGCATCTAGAAGATGTTGCTACACTGGAAGCTAAAGGAAAATATCCTGTCATTATTTCTGTCCAAATGGGAAAATGTTTTGCCAATTTGACTAAATGATTTACAAGTTCGGGACAATAAAAAGCGTTATACCTATCAGTCTCTACACTTTCATTAACTTTACATTCAGCCTGTTCTCTAATGTTGTTTATAAAAGAAGTCAAATTATTGTTTTCATCTAAATCATCCGGATAATTAAACTCTTTATCATTATCACTATCGTCTGTAAAAGTAAAATTTCTAATTTTTTCAAATAAATAGAATTGTTTTGTGGCACAAATAACATCATTACCATCAGTATCTTTGCCATCGTATTGACTGTAAGCAACAATAAATATTGATATCAGTAATTCAGTAAAATTTTCGATGTTATTACATATTGACATGATACCAATACATCTTACAAAAAAATCTTTTACTTTTGGGTGTTTCTTATCAAATACATTTTTGCGACAAACAATTTTAATTAAATGGGCAATGTCAACTCTTATATAAGTTTGAAGTAAATGTTGCAAAATTTCGCTACAAATCCATCGGTAACAATCAGAAATGTAGCTTTTTAAGTTACGTTCGTTAAAAGCCAAACTTATGACATTTAAAAATGCCATTGAATAATCGCAGTCGACTTCCGGAGGAATTGGAGCCCCATCTCTTATAATTTCTCTTAGCCAATATGTAATTATATTTGTATCATGTTTTTCTGATATCATTTGAAAAACTGGTTGAATACCATTTTCGCCTTTTATAATAATTTGGTATAAAAATATATGTTTTCTTTCCCCATTTAATTTAACAATTGGATTCATTAATTTTCCTGTAGCATCTATTTCAATTTTTCCAGATTTTTTAATTAAAGTTTTATATAAATTCATTTGCATTGGAGACCAATAGAAACAATAAAAATGCTCTTTAGAAACTTCTTTTATGTATTCTATGTACTTCCCTTTATATTTTAATTCAATTAATGAACTGATAGAATCAAGAAATTTGTTGATACCTAATTTGCGAATGATAGCTTCTTCTTTAATTTTTCTTAAAGTACATTGTCTGGGAAGATACGGCGGTTCAGGATGTTCAAATGATAAATCTTTTACAGCATTATTACGCCATTGTCTCGGTTGTTTACTTAATAACTCTTCTCCAATTGCTATTCGCTTATTTCCTTTTACTGCTCGTTTCTCTTCATGTGGTATTCCAGAAGTGTCCACAGTGTAAACTCTTAAGATAATACCAGTATCAGAAGCTGGTTCAAATAAAGTATGAGCCTTAAATATAGCACCGCATTCCTTACAAAAACCATATATTTTTAAGTATGTTTCGGCTTCTGTAGATTCAAAAACCTTACCATATTTAAATATATAAGCACATGGTAGTTTATTTAAAAAAAAACAGGCTAGAAATTATATCCGTCCAACCAGTTTTAAGTACTTTGTATCTTTTACCATTTGTTCCTTTTTCTTTATACACTTTTGATACAGGATATATAGATTTCCATTGCTCATTGGATAATTCTAAATTAAACCAAAATTTTGGGAATTTTGTATTAACATTTTCTGGAAAATTGTATGGTTCAAATTCTTGACTACTATTAGTTTGATTAGAAATATTAATATCATCTACTGCTTTCTCTTCTTCATCTTTTTTGTGGATATTGAAATGTTTTTCCAAATCTTTTTTTAAATTCCATCTATTATTTCTAACATAAACATTTAGCGTATCAGGCAATAACTTATCAGAAATTATTTTACATGCTTCTTTCCATACTTTATCTGAACGGCACTTCAATTGTTGATTTTTATCAAACGGTTTGCATTTCTTTAACGCATATAACATAACTTCAGGCTTTACAAAAGCTTTTCTAGGCATTTCAGTTTTTTTTACATAATTATCTTTTAATTCTATTATCCTTATCAATATATTCAATATAATCTTTAATTAAAATTATGTAATACTTAACAGAATAGAGTAAGGCTATTTTGAAATGAAATAGAAAAAATATTAAAAACTAAAATTAAAAATATTCTAAATATTGCAATCTGATTAAAAATTAAGTAAACTTATATTTATAAAAAATGTTTATAAGAGTTGTATTATTATGTTTCACGTCATACAATCTTTATATTGTTCAGGAAAAAATAAATGTGCACCATTCAATGTCGGACATTCTAAATCTTCTTAATCTCCAGTAATTTTAAGTTATTAAATACGAAATATTCTTTTTCGTAAGAACATCTGAAAAGAAATGATAATTCACAAAACTTAAAAAAATTGTTATACTAACTGTATTAAAAATTACAATATATTTATATATTTCAAAATTATAATATAAATAATGTGACTACATACCACAAACTGAAAAGATTAAATGCAGGAGTATATCGTTTTATACTGCTCAAGATTAAAATATAGTAAACTGATATTATTCGATATCAATTATCATATGGTATTAGCTACGATATGTATGATCTGAAATGTATGAAATTTCTTCTTAGATTTTAAAATTATTAAAAATGATTTCATATGAATTGTTGATACGAACTTTTTAAAATAATGTTAAACAAGAAAATAAAGTACATTACCTTGGATCTTGTTAGGTCATAATGTTCGTATTCACGCTGTGATTACGCTTCATCTCAGTCTTTATTTGCCGTATAAGTATCTATTGAATTCACAGTTTTAATGTAACTGATTTCGCGACACCGCTTAGGAGTGCTACGCACCCTGAGTTCTTGGACTTTGCCTAGGGGCACACACACCTTGTCCTGAGTCCCGATCAGACGAATCGCGACTACACTTGGGGAAAACTCCTGAGACGCGAACCACACGTGCGAGAATTTCGTACATTCGATTAACTCGTGCAGAACAGAACTGAGCTTGACCAAAACTCTTCGGGTTATATACCCCTTGCGGATTTGAATTCTCATTGGTTTACGCAATGAAACAGAGATCGCCGACAATAACAATTTGCCGACAATCGACTTATCAGATCTCAACGACGATTTTGAGTCGCTCGAAAATACGAACTTCGTATCACAGACACCGCGGATTTTGTGTGAGATGCCGCGAAGCCCGCAACACAGAAGCCGCGGTTCCTATGTAAAACACCGCGGAGTCTTTTGAATTTACACCGACAAGATTAACGATTACCGGGATTTCAAAGATATCCGCACGTGTGTGACGCATCAATTCATCCGACCAATACTTTTTATCAGAAAAACATGATACAAGTTTAATTACATATTGGCTAAGAGAAATTATAAGAGATAGGGCTCTAATTCCTTGGGAAGTCAACTGCGATTCATTTGATTCCAATCGGGTAAATCGTGGACAAATGGTGAACAATCGATTTTTGTACGTAATTTTAATATAATCGTGTTTATAAGTGCTCGTGACGAAATTTGCTCTAACTTTTTATTTATAATTTATTTATAATTTCTTTTAGCAAGGTGGATAAAAAATGATTATTTATGGACAATTGCGGACAAATTCTGGACAATCGAATCCCGTATGTAATTTTAAAAAATACACACTTAGGGGTGCTGATAAAAATTTTCATTTGTTTTTAATTTTTTTGCAAGGGTGGACAAAAAATAATTTTTTATGGACAATTGCGGACAAATTCTGGACAATCGAATCCCGTATGTAATTTTATAAAAAACACACTTAGAGGTGCTGATATTAAAATTTTTAATTTTTTTTTTAATTTTTTTTTTAATTTTTTTTTTGCAAGGGTGGACAAAAATTATTTTTTATGGACAAATGTGGACAAATTCTGGACAATCAAATGCCATATAGTTTATGTCAAAATTTGCATTTAGGAGTGCCAACTTCACAGACCTCAAGTGGACCTTGACCTCATTAAAATTATCTCTGATTCCAATATACGGATGGACGAATTCGACCATCGCTCTCGCGTGGTTCCGTCAACATCCATCAAAATGGAGCACCTACGTGGCTAACCGCGTATCCGAGGTGCATACCTGTCTGGATTCCGTTCGTTGGAATCACGTTCTTTCTCGAGACAATCCGGCGGACTGTGCCTCGCGCGGTCTGACCGCTTCCGAACTCGTTACCCACCCGTTATGGTGGAACAGTCCACGATGGCTTCAGAAGACCGACTTCGTGGCCGATTCTTGATGTCTCCGCTCCGCTCGACTCTGCCACCAATCAGCAGATGTCGGTGGAGAGAAGACGGCCTGTGACGCTCCATATTCAAGAGGCCGATGAATGGGAACTCCCATATAAGTTCTCCACCTGGACCAAGCTTGTCCGCGTGACTGCTTATATGAACCGCTTCATTCTTTGTTCAAGAGGAAAGAGTGCGTCTCGCTCCCATCTCTCCGCTCTTCTAAGCGCCGACAAGCTCAGGAGGGCGGAAACCTTCTGGTTGTGCTACCTGCAACAGAGGTTCTTCGAGCGGGAGACGCACTCATTAAAGAATAACGGCACAATGCCGCATTCGAGCTCGTTGAGCAGATTGAGTCCCTTTCTAGGAGAGGACTCTTTACTCCGTCTTGGCGGGCGGTTGACGAATTCGGCGCTCAACTATGACGAGCAACATCCTATAATCATTCCGAAACATCACCTATCCGATCTCCTAATTGATCGCGCTCATAGACTCACGCTCCACGGGGGCGCACAGTTAGTACTCCGTGTGCTACGTCAGCGGTACTGGCTCATTGGAGACCGCAGTTCAGTAAAGGCGCACATTCGAAAATGTGTAGTTTGCACTCGTCACGCGGCTAAACTGTCTTCTCAATTCATGGGCAACCTTCCCGCCGCTCGCGTCACCCCTTCGGCGCCGTTTACTCACTGTGGAGTTGATTACGCCGACCCTCTCCACGTGATTTCATTCGTCGGTAGAGGGCAAAGGGCTAGAAAGGTGTACATCGTTCTGTTTATTTGTCTTGCCACTAGGGCAATTCACCTCGAAATGGTGGAGGATTGCTCCACGCCCGGCTTTCTCGCAGCCTATCAGAGGTTCGCTAGTCGTCGAGGTCTGCCGCGTCACATGTATAGCGACAACGGCACTAACTTTCATGGAGCCAACCACGAGCTCCATCGACACTTTCAATCCTTATCAGAGGATACGGACTTGCAAAACGCGCTCGCGGGCGACGGAGTGGACTGGTATTTCATTCCCTCCGCCGCTCCACATTTTAGCGGCATTTGGGAGGCCGGGGTCAAGAGCCTTAAAACGCATCTGAGGCGCGCGGTTAGTTCCCACTCGTTCTCAAGGGCTGAACTTGCGACGCTTCTTTGTAAAATAGAAGCGTGTCTTAACTTGCGACCTATCGCTCCGCTTAACGACGACCCGGGTGACTTGTCGGCGCTCACCCCGGGTTATTTTCTTATTGGACGGCCCCTTGTAGCCGTTCCGGAGGAATCGGTACTCGCGATCGACCCGCGTAGGCTCTCGCAATGGCAACTCGTCCGTGCCATGCAGGAAACCATGTGGCGTGCCTGGTCACAGGATTACTTGCATTCGCTTCAACAGCGAAATAAGTGGTGCAAGCCGTCTCCTAACTTCGCAATAAGCGAATTAGTACTAGTCAAAGGTCCACTGCTCCCTCCGAGCAAATGGGAGCTTACCCGAGTATAGCAGATCCATCCCGGATCTGATGGACTCGTTCGAGTCGTGACCATTCGCACCTCACGGTCCACATTAAAGCGACCAATTACGCAATTATGCCGGCTGTCAATTCGCGATAACTTTAACGCGTCCGCAACGGACAAAGCCGCTAAGTTGTAAGACTTATGTAATCTTCGAGACGATTCTCTCAGTAAAAATCGTCTTCACCTGTATATTTTCTGTAATCATTCTCCTCGACGATTCGCTCCCGCTTCATTCAAGTTTGTTTCGCATTTGTTCGCATACGAGACGGGCGGTATGTTGAAGATTCATTTAATACGTTCATACTTTGGAGCGAATTCTCGAGGACAATGGAATCTTCGAGGATGTTTGAATTTCCTCACCGTGTATGTTTACTCCGAAAAGGAAGAACCACGTGCAACCTGCGTGTACACTCACCGCTTATTGGCGTGTGTACATCGCCTGATTGATATAGTCCAATCGCGACGCCGATCGGCAGCCGCCCTACGCGCGCTCAGAAATTCGCGCTGCCCTAGAGACAGTCTTTGAGAGTGCGACATCATTTTCTGTTACGCGACGCATTTTGTTCAAAGTAAAATAAAGCGATTCTTAGACGATTCAAAAGCGCGTACGTTCATTCGATCTAGGGAAACCGGCATCCTTCAACGATCCCTCGTTGAAACTTGTACAATAGATATTCGGGAATTAAAATAATTTATATACATAATAGAAATTCGGCGAATTAAATTTATGTACATAGAAAACGAATCTTCTTCTTCTTTGTATTGTGGCACCTGTACGCATCCGCGTAAAACGACCATCAACTGGTAGAAATAGAAAACGAATTAAAATTATGTTAGTAATATAAATTTGGCGAATTAAAATTATGTATTCGTAATATTAATTCGGCAAATTAAAGTAATGTACATAATAAAAATTTGGCGAACTAAAATTATGTAATACATAATAGAAATTCGGGAATTAAAATTATGTCCTTTTTTAAGAAAGATATTCTCGCAAGTATTGTTTCCGCTTTTCTGCGGTGCTGATTGTTTATCTCGATTTTTTTTGTTAAATTGAAAGTATCAAGCAACTGCTCAACGCAAAAATTAACAATGTGACAGTTATAAAATAAAATTAAAACAATACCAATGGCGCGCGCTTGTGTTGTCTAGTAAATGAAAAAAAGCCTTGCGTAAGAGATTGCAAAACTGTGACAATAGCATCTCGTTTTACTCTTCACTTGTTCTCTTTCTTTCTCTTTTAGTGAACATACGGAGATTTTTAATTATTTATTTGAATACAAATATATGTATATATTTGTTAATTTATTTATATAAATGCAAAATGTATTTCGTATCTATAACTTATGGATATAAAATGTGAACACATGTGCATCAAAAAGATTTTTAATTATTTATTTGAATACAAATATATGTATATATTTGTTAATTTATTTATATAAATGCAAAATGTATTTCGTATCTATAACTTATGGATATAAAATGTGAACACATGTGCATCAAAAACGATTTTAGATTTTATTAATCTAAAAGTGGATGTATTTAGCACGGACGCGAACCACAAATCAAAAAGTGGATATAAATAAATGTGACTAGTAGTTCCAATTTCTAAAAGTGGATGCAAGGCGCTGCTTTACGGCCTACTAAAAGCAACCCACGAAAATCGCCGGCATGGCCTCTCTCAGACTTCTTTCTGCCATTTGAAGTTAGCCTCCCGTTTTTATAATTTCAATCTTATTTCAATTTTTCAGAGGCTCAATTGGCTCAAGAGGCAGAATTATTTGTTGGATACGAATATACGAATTAGATCGTTGTCTCTTAAATAAAAGCAAAATCATATTTAGTAATTTTCTAGAGAAAATTTATTTAAATTACTTATTTAAGGGGATGTCGGATGATGTTTTTACCGACCGAATGCGAGAATATTTAGTTTTTTTTATATAACTTTTTATTGACTATACTGATCAATAAATCCTTTTCCACGATTAAAGTACTTATAAAAACGGACCGCGCTATGTTTGCATATATAAATCATATAGCTAGCTACGTTTGCATATATAAATCATATAAAAATCAAAAATTACAGTTTTGTTATCGGCTTCTTTGTGTCAGTTCGTAATAATACTTATTTAATAAAAAAGTTCTGCAGTTTGTCTGTGCATAAAATGTAGTATACGCGGTAAGGATAATATGAAGAATTATTAGTAAACGATTAAAAGTGAGATTGCAAGTTTAATAAAAAAGTTATATATTAAAAACATTTTTACGCGTATGTGTTGTATACGTGCATATGTTTAGATATGTGTGGTGCTAACCTATCGGAGTTCGGCCGTCGCTCCGGCATCCCCTTAAAGAACGATGTGTGCGAACGTGACAAGGAGTCCGAGAGAGATAAGCTGATTTGATAGTTAACACAAAGTTTAATTGACACAACTTAGACAATACAATAATTATACAAATAGTTCTAAAGTTAAGCCGAGATCGATTTCAATGTGCGTGAGCGATTAATATTTGCGGTATTTTCTGAGCGGTTTGATAGCGGTTGTGCGTATTGAGACTCGAAAGACTAGCGGGCGCAATTTGGTGGGCGCTCCTTTTATTATTGCGGCGCTGAAGGCCCACTAATTATAATGCGCCAATTAATTTTTATTTATTTAAAATGTTCGAAGGTGACGCGAGGGCGCTTGTCTTTATTGGCTGCCCCGTGATCTGCGCGAAATAAGTACGGATCTGACATGCGCGAAACGCTCGATAGCGGGATCGATTGTCTTTCGGAAGCCACGTGATCGAGCGGCGCATGTCTCTTACAGCGATGATCAGTGCGGTAGTCGTTGCTTTTGGTTGAGCAATGTTTTTATTATTGATAGCTTTTTTGCGATATTGAAGAATTATTGCCTACTTGTTATTCGCCGGGTGAACTTTTTTAATCGTTTTTTTGTGTACATATACATCTATTTTAGGTGTATAATAATAAAAGATATAATTTAATTATAAGGAATTTCCCAATTTCGAACAGACAATGATCTAACAAATTTATTTAAATTATTTATTCAAAAGATGTTCGGAAATCGAACTCAAAATAAAGGCTGAAAGGAAAATAATTACTTAAAAACATGCGTCCTTCATGCAGCATGCTTCATGCAATAACGAAATAAAAGATCTTATATTCTAACAAATTAGCGCTCGGCCGCAGGGAAATAAGTCTAAGTCCCCGCGCCTGCGAAAATAAGCGCTCGCTCTATCTCGCTTTAAAGGCAAAGGATAACGATATACACCGTGGTCGCGCGAGAGGAGACAAATAAACCGATGAAAATAAATAACAAACTTTAATTGTGGTACTAATGACCAATTACATCTATGTGCCCTTATCGTCCTTAACCGGATTTTAGAACGTTCTACACTTCTCGAATATTCTCGAATTTTGCTCCTATAAAACTCTCCTCTCGCGAGGCCGTCAGGCTCTTTTTCCGTTTACTAATCGACGCAAATAGAGTGTGACTCGTTTTTCTCGAGGAAGATAGCTCGTCTTTTTACCGTTGCTTGCAAACTATTATTTCTCCTACTTTTGACCCGGCTTGTCCTCGGTTTTATTTGTTCTCGGATTATTTCTCTTGGATTATAAATTGTAATACTGTGGTTTTAATATATTATATATATTGTGATCTTGTTTCGTTACGCGCGTGTTAAGTGGATCAAACGCCTCTCGTCCAGCTTCCGACTTTCTCCTTACATTCCGTCTCGTACAAAAGACGATGATCTAATAAACGCTCTAATTAATATGTATAGTCATGATTAACAAACGATTCCGTACCGATTGACCCTCTGCAAAACTTCAATTAAAAGTAAAAACGGAGGGACTAATTTCACGGTCATTTTTATTTTTTATTTTGCAATAAGAAACTAATCTACAATCTACAAACGTTTGAATTAATATATAACATCACCTACAAACGACCTACAAACGATCTAAAGAATAAAATTTTGAAATGTCAAATTAGAGAGGGGGGGGGGGGGCAAAATGGAGTTACACCTAGTAAACAAAAAAACATTGCTACACAACATTATTATAATGATTTTCACTAACATAATTGTCAAAAGTATGTACCCAGCGAGAAATGATAGATAAATCGACGGCGATTCGACGTCGAATCAATGTTAAATTGATCGAATCGATATCGATTCAACCGATCATTTCTCACTAGGTACAGTTTTATTGTATATGCAACATCATTATGAACAAACTTTGACATCGATTTAGAGGTTTTGGTAATGTTGAAATAACATTTTTAAAATATTTTATTAATATTTTGAGAGCAATATGTTCCCAAGTAGAACAGAAAAGTCAAAATAATGTCAATTTGACGTCATTTTGATCAAATTTATTTGTTAAAAAATTATTCTTCTGTTGTCAAGTACACTTTACAATAAAAAATATATTTATGATACTTTACTCTTAATAAACTCTTTTTGCCAGCTTTACATAATTTTCTTATTAAAACTTACATGCGAGACAAAGGACATCATGCATCACATAGCGATAAATGAAGGAACTGAATTAAGATATCTTCAAGACGTCTCAAGACATCTTCAAAATAACGTCTTTATTTGGTCTAAAAAATGATGTCTTATAAACGTCCATTATTAGTCGTTGATGTCATAGACCAAAAATGACTAAAAATAGACTTTGTGAATCACTTTGTTACTTGGGAAATTATTCAACACGTTGTGTAAGTTGGCAAGAGACTTTTGTTACTTTCATAACATTGTTATTTTTATAAATTTAAAGTATAAGGCAGGCAATAAGAGCCGATCGCGGAAGACAGTGCGTTATCCTAACGAAACTAAATTTTTCGTTAGAATTAAATATCTGTGCAAAAATCTTGGCAGTGACCAAGTAAAATTTGGTGCCTTGTGCACAGATATTTAATTCTAACGAAAAATTTAGTTTCGTTGGGATAACGCACTGTCTTCCGTGATCGGCTCTTA